GGGGGGGGGGGGGGGGGGGCAGATATAGATTTTTTGCTTAGTAGTTAGTGTGTGTTTACCTTTATTCCCTTTTTTGTTACCATCACAAACACATTACAGTATAATTTTTATAATATTAAAATTAAGTATTAGATGCTGCAAGTTAATTTCTAATTTTTCCTTTAATTTTAGTACATATAATATATAATGAAGGAACGTCTATACACGTGCATATTACAGCATGCTGTCAGAAACATTTATGAAAGCCAGTGCTTGTTCAGTATTTTTATTTGCAGCTTAGTAGCTTTTTCTTTTGTGTTATTTCTTGTTTTCCTAAATGTAACCAGATTATACTACAGTAGAAGGACGCAATCCTGATGCAGAAGGTGGAAAGGAAGCTAAGGTTTGGGACAATGAAGAAGAAAAAGTGGCATACAACTGGAGTTTCTTCCATCTTATGTTTGCTCTTGCTACTTTGTATGTTATGATGACACTCACTAACTGGTATAAGTGCGTATCTATAATATTAAACTATATTTGTTTTAATCCATCAATGTCACTATATTGATACCTTTAATAGACCAAACTCCAGTCTGGATACATTAAATGCAAACAATGCTTCAATGTGGGTGAAAATTATTTCTTCATGGATGTGTTTGGCTCTTTATGTATGGTCATTGGTAGCGCCTGCCATTTTCCCGAATAGAGATTTCGCTTAAACTTCTGGATTTATTGTAAGCCAAAATCTAAGAGTTTACAACAGGTATTTATATCTCGATATTGTAATGTAGTATTATAAGAAGTGATAACCAAGTATCTGTTTTAATATAATTTAAAAATCTTATGTTACAGACATTTCTCTGCTTATGATCTAACATTGAAATGCTAATGATTACATTTAAGCCAAATAACGCAATATGAAATATTGCATATTAAAATATATATTGATATATTTCTAAGAAGTAGATGTTCTATATAAAAATTTACTTTGTCAACAGTAATTATGTATTTAACATAGATATATGCAGAATAAACTGCATGTAATTTTAATTACTAAACTTATATAATATTAACTAATTCTTAGATTATATACAATTTAACTATCAATTTAATGATGTGCTTTATTCTGAGAGACTAACAGTTATATTATTATCATATGCTTTATATGTTATAAGAATCAGTTCTGTTAATGCCATATATATAATTAGATGTGTAAAATTATGGTATATAAAGATATATGATAGGAAAATTATATTTTTATTTATGTTTCTAATTTATGAAATTTATGATTATTTGAAAAATTATTTCAGCATCTATTCGATTTTTATACTATGCAATACGTTGCATGTACTCAAATAATATTGCTGTACCACTGATGCATTTATAACTAGTTTATAATTGATAATTAACGCATACATATGCGTTATTGCAATATATATTAATTGCATATATACGT